TTTTTTTATAAATATATTCTATAAATCTTTAAATATTAAATATATTTATTTAATTGCAAATTAATATGTAAAATTTTATGTAATTACAATTTAATTCAAATATATCAAGTTGGTGTATTATATTTAATGAGATAACCAATATATAATAAAGGCATGCTTTTTGGTTTAAAGGCATATACTGGATCATCATGTCTTAAACCTACTAGACAGGAATATTTAAACTCTTAATGTTTAGTCTTATTAATTTTTTTCAACTAAATTTTTTTTTAAACTCTAATCATGATTACTAATAAAAATATATATTAAAAGTTTAGACTTATTTATTTTAAACTTAATAAAACATAGAGTTTAATCAATTTTTAAACTAAAATATAATATATATAAATAGTTTTAGAAATAAATAAGATAAATACCTTTTATATAAAATTTGTTTAGAGAAACTTAATCTTAACTTGTAATTACTAAAGTTTTATAGTAGTAAATATATAGAAAAATAATTTCAAATTGTAGTAATATATTTTTGGTTTAGATTTTTTTTTAATTTATTTGTTTATTTTAAGATTATAGTAAAACTAAGATAAGTTTTGTATAAGTTTAAAAATATTATAATCTTTTATTAATTGTTAAAAATTGCTAAAATGAGTTTTAATTTTTGAAAGATGAGTTTTTTGGATGCACTTTTAATTTTAAATAAGTCTAAGAGTATTATATTAATCTGTTTTTTTTTTATATTTATAAAAAAAAATAAAATTATCTAAAGTCAAAAAGTTCTAAAACAATAATTATCAAATATTACAGACTGATTTTAGTAAAGCATTTTCTAATATTATGCAGAATATTATACAATTTGATAATATATCAAACTTGTTTTTTATTATATTTTATGGAGATTCATTAATGCCACTCTCTACTTTTGCTAATGCTACCCTCTTTATATAAAATATTTAATCTTTAGCCTTTTAGACTCTAATTATTAATTAGAGTTAGATTATGTAAGAAGTAACATTAATAAAAATAGAGAGTGACATTAACAAGTCTTTATTTTATATTATATATTTTAATCTTTTTTTTTTAATTTAAACTATTAGTCATAAAATGAAAATTTAATAAAAAAGAAATCATTATAGATGCTAACAATAATCTGTTTTATATATTCAAGCATAAAAAGAATCTAAAGAATGCAACTAATCAGAATAAGAAAGATGAGGTATAATAATAATGTTTTAAGCTATCAAAGTTCAAACTATTTATATATAAAAATAATCTACATTGTACTCTACTTTTAAGAAATTCAGGAAACATTAAATAAAAAAATTAAATTGTTAAATCATAAAAAGATAAAAAAATTGTAAATAGTAAAACTAAAATAATATAAAAACTTATATATATTTTACTATATTTAAATAAATAAAAAATGAAAAATACTTCAAAACTATAATCTAGAAATTAAAAAACACAAGTGAAAATACTTGTCTTTTGAAATTAATAAAGACATAAAGTTTAATTTTAGAAGTATTAAAACAGAATTGTTACAGAAACAATCAAATAAGATATATTATATATAAAAACTTAGATGTTCTTATTTTGCATATCTTAACAGTTTGCTTTTTGCTTTTAGTAAAAGATTAGTATGGTTAATATATTATAAAAATTTAAAAAATATCAAATAAAAATATTTGAAAAAATGAAGACTTACAAATTATAATAGAATAATTTTTATAAAATACTATAAGTATTTTAAATATAATAATATTAGATAATGTATTATACTAATAATTTTTATTTATATTTATTAAAAAATTATCTTTAATAATTGCTTTTACTAGTTAAAAATAACAGATAATTATATATAAGAACCTTTATATTTTAAATAATTCAGTTTTGTTATTAGAAATTTTATCTTCTTTATAAAATACATTAACTTATTTTTGAAAGATAAGACATTTTTTTTAAATAATTTTGAAATTGACCAAATAGTTTTTTGAATTTTAATAATATATAAGTTTTATTTTATAATATTTATAAAACTAAAATCAAATCTGTATTAACTTTTTTTTTTATATATAATAGATGTAATAGTGTTTTTAATGTTTTTTTAACTAAAATATTAAAAGATAGGTATTGTTTTACATTGTTATACCTAATAATGTATTATTTATATAATACTTGGATTTTTTTAGTATATAGTACATATAATATACATAGTAAAATTTTTTAATACTATATTCTATAATTATTTTGAAATATTTAGAAATTTTAAATATTATAATTTAAATTTTAGAACTTATAAAATAACTTTTAAAATTTTAGTATACAGTATATACAGTATATATAGTTCAGTATATATCATATAGTATATGACACAATATCAGATATAAATAACAAATTTGAAAGTATATATAACAGTTACCTATCTTTATTATATATAATGAACATTAAAACATTTTATATATTTATTATATTAATTATATAATAATTAAGCAGTTTGATATCAAAGTTTGTTTTTTATCTTTACTGATATATAATGCTTGCATTACTTATAGTATTAATCTTCTACAATTAATTTTATTATATAAAATTAATAGCTAAACATAATTAAATTTATTATATTTTTTTTTGAATTTGTATTACTTTTATATAAATGTTTTTATTTTTCATAATAGTAAACATTAAATTTTTATATAAACATATATATAATTTTGTAATTTTTGTATATTTTTTTTTATATTTATTTTTCTTTTATAATATTTTTTCTATATATATTTTTTTTAAGTTTTTTTTTAATTTTTTTTTTTACCTTTATATTTGTTTTTTTTACACATATATATATATTTATATTTTTTTATATTTTTTTTACATTTTTTTTATATTTTTTTTACATTTTTTTTACATTTTTTTTTATATTTTTTTACATTTTTTTACATACTTTTTATATATTTTTTTCTTTTAATAATTTTTAATAATTATAATATAGATTAAAACTTTTTACAGATATAAGATGTGTTATATGAAACATATCAATAATTTATTAATAATCTGTAAATTTATTGACTATATGTTTTTATTAAATTTTTTTATTACTTTTTTATTTTTTTTTTACATTTGTTTTTTTTTAAAAAAAGAAAATTTAAATAAACTAAATGCAAAACAATATAAACAGTATAAGATATATTTATTAAACATATTGTTTGTTTAAATATTTCTTTTTTTAAAAAACTAGTTTTTTTAAGCTTAATATAATGACAAAGTTTATTTTAGAAGTTTTATTCTCAAATATTAAGCATAAAAAGTCATTGCATTTTTAGAAATATAAACTAAATTTGATTCTTAGCAACAACCATTTTGTTTAATAAAAATTGTAACTATTTTTTTTAAAAAAAATTCTTAAATATGGATTTAATAAATAAAGTGTCAAGTTTACTAAATTTTGTTTTTTATTTTGAAATATTTGAAAAGTTTTTTGATACAATATATTATTACATGTTGAAAACATTATTTTAATAAGTTTATTTTTATTTTTTACTATTTAATAAATTATTTGTAATGATTACATTTGTGAACATATTTATGAATCCTTTCCTAATCTTTTCTTCAATTTAGTTATTATATCACTATGTTTTATGAAACACCTCCATCTTCACCTTGTTTTTTAGATCTCATATCTTTAATTCTAACTTCACCATGATTTAATTCATCACAATTAATAATAACAACAAAAGGAATTTGATCATAATTACATACTGAAAATTATAGATATAATTTCAATTTGTTCTTGTACATAAATTCAGCCTATCAAGGCGAAAAGCATTCAAGATATTTAAAATTTGTTTCATTTTTGATTAGATAACGAAATATACAACCATTAATTCCTGCATTCCATAACTCAGAACATATTTTCATTCTATTTTCCAGTAATCCATCAGCAAGACCATTACATAAACTTCTACTTCATTTGCCTTGCTCAAGTGCAACTTTTTACTGCAAAATGGAAAAGACTCTTTCCACACCTATGTAAACACCAACACATGGTATGTTGCCTTTTTATTACTGGCAAACATGTCCATGAGATTATCATAGCGCCCACCTGCAGCAATAGAGCCACACCAACTGTTGTTTCATCAAGTTCATCTTCATCTTTTTTTGTCTTTCAAATAATTTGAGATCCATCACTACTTTCTAATGCATAAAATAAAAATAATGGATTAATCCATCATTATTTTTAGATATGCTTAAATAAACTACATTATGCTCTTACTTGGTGGTCCAGATTGTTCTGTTACAGCCTCATAAATTATACCCGTATAGTAGTAATCTAATCCTCTAGCGAGAAAGATCTTTAAATACCAATAACGAATAAGTATACACATTGGAAATACTTTTAGCAAATAAGAAATATGAATAAGAAATACCTTATCTGACACACCGAATACTTTCAAATATTTAAAAATAAGAACCATGTCATTTAAACCGGCTTTAGCGTTATTATTGGAAAGTAATAATTGGTCTAGGAGCAATTTATCCAAAAGTTCTTAGCCTCCTAATAATAATAATAATAATTATAAAGTTAAACCTAAATATATTTAACACATAAATTTTAAACTCTTGAAATGTCAATATGAATGTACCTTTTAATTTAACATATTCTTCTATGCGATCAGCAACGTTAAGATCTAATCCTTTCTCTTCTGTCATTTCTTAACAGTATATTTACCGATATCAAGAATCCTATAACATGAACAATACGGTATAAGAAAGAATGAAAAATATTAAAAAAAAACCATTAGGGAGCAGACATTTATTAATCATTTACTGTAGAGGCTTACCCCCATCGCAGGTAATATATCTTTTTTAATCAATTATAAATAATAATCAAAGTTTGACTCCATCTCTAAAGTATTTAACCCATTTTTCGACTTACACATTGATAAATTCACGCATGCCCCTTTAGTCATAGCAGGTTGAACTCTTCCATAAACCTTTGCAATTTAATATCTTTTAATAATTTGATATTGAGAACCATTCATAGCCAAGAATCGAGCGAAAGGGACCTAACCAAAAAAAGAAAGGATTATATTAAATATTAAATACATTTAATAAATGATATTCATTGAACAATGTTTAGGTAACAATGAAAAAGAGCAACGCACAGTTAAATTGTATCGTAAAGAACATTTTTAACCGTCTTGATCACCAAGAATTTACTGTCATCACTGTATTTTCCGGATAAAATTTCTTTCAATTCAGAAACAGGAGTATCAATAGTGACAGCTCTGTGTTCCTTAAAGATAGAGAAAATTTTTTCCCGAATTGTCATCTCTTTTTCATTGTAATTACGGGTTCCCTATATTACATGAGAATGTTAGAGACCTCGACAACGACATGATAACAAAACTTTTAGGAAACATTGAAATAAATTATGTAAAACAACGTAAAATTTACCAAATTATGCAATTTTTAACAAAACTTACCTTTGAGGTTTTTAGAGTAAATTTGGTTTTATTTTTTGTGGCGTTATCTTCACCAGTAAGAGAAGCTAATTATCTTTTTAAATCCAGAAGGGTGGCGATTTCAGCATCCACAGTGTCTTGATCAGTTTTTAGTGATTTTAAAGCCCGAACCTTTTCTCCTTGTAGTTTGATTTTTGTTTTGAGATCCTGTATTTCATCCACCCCTACATCAACTGTCATGGACTCATTCGAACTCATCGTGAATAAGAATATCTTATTTCTCTTCCAATTAAATTTATTAAAATTGATTTCTTGTTTCAAAAAAACCAGTTAGATATGTAATATACATTCTATCGAATTAAACCTCACAATGATTACAATCTCGTATGCCATCTCCTAAAATAACGTTCATAGTTATATCGATATACTTATCGTTATGACTAGGATATCAGAAGCTGATAAATGTCCGAAGCAATTAGTTGACGTATCTGGCTAGGGCAGCCAATTTTTTTATTAGTCGATTTATATGACTGGAAACTAAGAAGTAGAGTTCCTTCGGACAATAAAAATTTTATCGTTACAACCAGTGTTGGTCAAATTAGTGATCGATTGTAAATTTGCTAGTCATTGGTTAAAGGGTTTCTGGTCAAACTGGTCTGGTCAAATTGGTCAAATCGTCTAGTAAATTAGCCAATCAGACCAATCAAGAAATTTGATTATAGTTAAATTGGTCTAACTGGTCAATTTGTTTTTATAACTAGACCACTTGACCAACTTGACCAATGTCAAAGATGCTTGACCGGACTGATCATTGGTTAAACTGGTCAGATCAAATGGTCAAATTGGTCTGGTCAACCCAACACTGGTTACAACCAACTTATAGGGTCTTCAAAATTCCGGTCGAAATACCTCGGAATCATGATCGGCAGGGCCGGAATTGCCCAAGATCAAAGTTTTACTCAGGGTTGGGATAAGTTACACCGTAAGTTACAAAGCTTCATGTAAGTTACAAATACATAATGTTAATGCAGGTCAACTTTGAGATTAAATTCGGCATTGGAATACTAAATTTATAGAGAAGCAGTTTCTTATTCAGTACAAAATATGTAAGTTACGTAAGTTATGTCAGTTAAAATTTAACTTTCTGATAATAATTCTATTACGACTACGTAGTGTTGCGGGCGAAACCCAAAACAGGAAATTATGACAATTAATAATCAAGTTAATCAAGTGCATTGTTATAATTTCCTTTTTTGGGCTTCGCCTGCAACACTAATTACGACACACATACATATAATTATGCTAAAACTAAGCAATAAGCCTATGTTAAATGTAATAAAACTTTCAATAGTAAAATCTAGATTTTTCATATATGATAATTTAGATGATAGCAAATAAATAATACGTAGAAAATTTGGTAAGACCAAACATTGAACAATCCTAATGACTACATTTTGTCCTTTACAATAAATCAAAAAGACCTTGAACAATCTTTTGTTCATCAACAAATCTAGAATGAAAAATTCATCAGCACAATAATCAGAAAACCTAAAATTAAATAAATGGAGTACGTATATTTGCACTCAGTGAAAGGTATATATTTTTGAATTACAATTTTTTTTACTTATAAAGCAAAAAACGGGACATAAAACTCATTTCCAGAAAAAATATATACGGTAGTACATTATAACCTTATTCATGTTAATAGTTTCACAGATATAGAATTTTCCATATCAATGGATGAAGATATCCCACCATCAGATCCATAACAAGTGGGATTTATATAAGGGTTTCGGTAGACCTGGAAGTTAACTTTTTGGAATTATTAAGATCAAAGCTGGTGTAATCATTCAAATAGTCTCTCCATTAATTACTAATCATTTTGTAGAAAGGCTTGATTGTCGATGTTTTTCACTAAGGACTTCAGCCCCTTGTTTAATTAAGAATTGATCACATGCAGAGTACAATTCTTTTTCCTCTTCAGGTTTTCTACATCGTTGACTAATCCACGTTGCTGCACGTTCACAGACAGGTCGCCACTCTTGCTCATAGTTAGGCAACACTGTTCTTAAATACGTGGCTGTAAGAGCTGTACACCATATTGAAGAATCACATCTTCTTAAGAACAAGCTTCCTACATAACGCTTGAGAGATTCAACAGCGATGTCAATTGATTCGATTTTAAGATGGTCAGAAATCAATTTATGTAGGGTAAATGAGCCGTCTTTTTTTTGAGAGTTACAAAGTGTGCGAGCGACTTCCTTTGTGACATCATCACGGAGACTTTTATGAACGGCTTTACGTGTTTCTTCGCTAACTTGAAGTTCAATAACCTCTACCTCTTCTTGGGACTCTTCTGCAATTCCACATTCATTGTTAAAGAATTCAATACCTTGTTGAATCAAATATTGTTTACAAGCTGAGTATAATTCATCTTCTATTTCAGTATCCTCAATCTGCTCAGTTATCCAGCTGCTGGCGAGGTCACAGACATGACGCCATTCTTTCTCATGGTCCACCAAAATATTTTTAAAGTAGTAAATTGTAAATGCTGTATGCCAAATTGAATCAGCACAAGTTCTAAGTTTTGGGCTACCGACAAAAGGTTTAAGAGATTCAACAGCATCTGTCGGCGAAGGGATTAATGGATGTAACGTGGTTAAAGTTTGTGGAGAAAATGAGCCATTACTTTGTTGCGCAGAACAAAATGAACGGACAATATCAGCAGTGTTCTTAGAGCGTAAGTAATCAAAAACTGATTTGCATGTTTCTTCGTCGATATTAAGTTTTAAAACCCTAAAGCATTTTGTATCTTTAGTTGAATAAAGGAGACAGCAACCTCGATGAATTAAGTATTGTCTACATGCAGAAAATAATTCTGTCACCAATTTCGTGTCATTTATCTGTCTAAACAACCATTTACTAGCACGATCATAGGCATCGCGCCATTCATTTTCATGATTTGTTAATATGGTTTTAATATAATATACTGTAAAAGCCGTGTTCCAAACAAAATCATCACACCCTCTTAGTCGAGGACTACCAACTAATTGCTTAAGGGATTTAACAGTGTCAACTGGTTCTATGTCGAGATGGTCAGTTATAAAAGGACTTAGAGTAAAGGATCCGTCTTTATGCTGAGCATCGAAAATTATATGAGCAGTGTCGTCATCAACGGCGGAACGTAAACCATCATGAACTTCTCGAACAGTGTCTTCAGTAAAATCAAGTTTAGTAACATGAATATTTTCTTGAATGTTATATCTAATAGCTTTATCGTGTGCTCGATCGACTACAAATTTATTAGTGCACTTTAATAATTCTTTTTTAATACCCGCATCGCCAATTTGTTTAGATAGATAATCACTGGCTTTTTTAAATTTGTCTTCCCATTGATTTTTATAATGAGGTGCGGCTACTTGAAGGTAACTAATAGTAAGCGCTGTCTTCCACCATGGATCCGACTCAGGAGATTGTAGTCTTTTGTCAGGTGCACTTGATTTGACTGTAGTTATAATGTCTTCTATAGGAACTTCTAATTCTTTACAAATCGTCCCATTCAATTCAAAGGATCCATCATCTTTTTGTTTAGGCACGGCAGCTTCATATTTATCAGGGGTTGTTGATATTTGAAAATATACGATAGCAGACCTCTTTTCGTCCTTAATTGTTTTTTTTGCGCAATTGTCAATCACATAATTATCTGTGAACTTCAAAAGTTCTTTTTCAGCATCATCATCTCTTATTTGCTTCGAAAGATACTCACAGGCTTTATCGTATTTATCTTTCCATTGATCTACAAATTTATATGCGACATTTTTAAGATAAGAAAGATTAATAGCAGTTGAAAATAATGATGGTGACTCGGGTGATTTAAGTTTGTTATTGGTAATGTTCTTCTGAACCGTATTAATAATTTCCTCCATTGGGAGATCGAGTTCTTTGCATATTGTTTCGTTTAATTCAATATGACCGTCATCATATGCTGTAGAAATAATAGCATTGCAGACCTCAGGAGTAACACGTCCCTTAGCAATGACAAATGCGGCCTCCTTTTCCGTTTGATCCGGTTCTTTATCAAACGAAATGATGTCTTCGATATGTTTATCGAGAATAAGACTTTGAGTCGTCTTATAATGCCTGTCGATTAGTATTGGTTCATCATCTTTTTCAGTCACATTTTTTATCGCTTCATTGATTACACATTTATCTGTTTCACGGTTCAAATGATCTGATAATCCAGCAATACAAAAAGTTAGTACGTATAATGTATAATCTCTTTGTAAATAAAGCTCATGGATTACCTTGGTATGGAGCATCGAGTTCGATAACCTCATTATCGATATTATACCTTGTGATCACCAATTCTTTGGCAGATCCCAAAAGTTCACGTTCGATTTGAGGATTTTTAATTTGTAAACTTAACCATTTATGTAATGAATCGCACTCAGTGGACCAATGTTGACGATAATCTACACCCAACAAGCGGAAATACCATATCGCTACAGCAGTGACCAAAATTTCACTAGAAAGTTTCGCAAAGTTTTCAGAAACAAAATGACAACGTAATGCTATTTCAAAGGATTCTTTATTAAGAAATCCAAGGTGTTGAGCAAGCTCATCGGTGATTTTAAAGCCACCATTCTTTGTACGATAAGTAATGAATTTTTTAACAACTGTGTCCGTAGTAGTACTTCGACTAACTTTAGTGTCAGATAAAGAGATTGGTTTGCGATTTTGGTCTGCTAAATTTCGAAAAAGATATTTAGAATACAAAAAATAGCAGTTTTATTTACAGAACTTTGATTATTTAAATCATCAAATATACCTGTCATTTGTCTCTTCTTTTCGTCTTTTCCTTTAATTGCCACATCATTGGTATTGACAGCTGTGATAAAGCTATTATCAACTTCTCGATTATGAAAAATTTCCTTAGCTTCAATGGAATCCTTGAAAGACATGTCTTCCTCAATAACATCATTTTCGACTTCGAATCTATTAACAACAAAGTTTCTAGCAACTTCGAGAAGTTCATCTCGTATTTTATCATCTCTGACTTGTTGACAAAGCCAATTATACGCTTTTTGGTATACGTCTGCCCATTCATTTCTAAAATCAACTAATACATATCGAATAAACCAAATTAAAATAGCAGTACTCCAAACGTTGATATCAAATTGTGCAGTTCTTGGTGAGTAGGAAGCAAAATAAGGTTCAAAATGTTTTTTGGCCTCTTCAACCGAGTTGAAGCCCAAAGCTTCAGCCAATTGAGTAGTAAGTTTGAAACAACCAACTCCATTCTGATAAGTGATAAATCGATGAACAATACGGATATCAACATGCCGTCGAGTAATTATTAATTTCTTAGATATAACTGTAGTAATATGAAATGATTAATAAATCAATATCACAAATATCAACATACAAAAATTTATGCAGGTAGTATATTATAGTCGCATGCAAATCGATGAATTAAAAATATGTAATGAAAGAAAATAGTCAGAAATAGAGTTTCCAGAATTCTGCAGTGCATAAATCTGCTCACGCAAAAAAAAAATAATATATTTTTTATATTGTATTTGATTTTAAAAGTGATTAAAGTCACGTTTATTTTATGGAAACAATATTGTAGAGTGAATAGATCAGTGCAACGCAGAATTCTGAACACTCTAGTGAGGTATACTAAACTCTGCTATAGAAAATGGTTTAATCGTTAATATAATCATGATAATAAGTTGTAACACCAATTTATTCTTGGTTTTTTAATTTATCGACTAACATATGATTTATCTCGCTTCATTAACCAAAATAATATGTTTTTCTTACCGAAAACTCCCACACTTCTTTGTTGATTCTCATCTACCCATTGAGTAACTTTAAAGCGTTGAATGACGAATTTGTTCGAATGATTATAAAGACGTTCTTCGACTTCGACATCGGTGACATGTTCGCTCAACCAGCTTTCAGCCCCGTTGTAAATATTCATCCACTCACGACGTTGCTCCCACATTAATACATTGAGAAAGGATGTGACAAGCACAGTAGCCCAAACTTTGTGATCCAAACTATGAACCTCTTCGTCTTTTTGTACATAATCAGAAAAGGCTTTAATAAATTCTTCCTTAGAAGAGTAGTTGAATAATCTTGCTAATGAGCCAGTAAGTTCAAAGCATCCATATTGACTTTGATAAGTTATTAGGAGATATAAATGTCGAACCGAAATAGTAGTTGGACTAATAACTTCTAAACCCAACTCCGGTTCGTTAGGCGAAAAAAAGTTAGCAACAAATGATAATTGGCCTCTGCTAGCCCCTTTATAAGTAAGATTAGCATCAACTTTTAATTGCTTTCCTTTGAAAGAACCATTAGGACGCTTTTTAATTATGGACTTGAGATCAAAAATATAAAATCCCAAAAGTGTATCTTCAAAGAAAGCATTATAGTCGAAAACTTGTAAATTCAATTTTTCATAAACATCATAGACTGGAATATAAAACACTTGTTCCCAAACAGGATTGTAGTTGTTGTAGATAACACGTGAATCACCGTACACCCAACTTGTGGCAACGTTAGATATTCTAACATACGGATCGGAGGCACCACCACCCAACCACGTATCGACATGCTTAAGATTTTTGGCGCAAATAATTTCGATACGTGCGATGCCATAAGGTTTTTGAACTTTATAAAATTTAAAAAATAAGTATCACTGGAATTAAATAAGAGAGGAAGAAAAGAAATTTATTACCGATTCCTCGCTCTTTTTGTGGATATTTGATAGTAGGTATCATTTCAGAAATCTCATTTTCTAAAACACGATCCAATTCCAAACATCATATTTTACACAACAGGATTCCTTGACAAATTATTTAATACTATGTTAAAATTATATATAAAATCAATCGTATATTTAAGTTAAAAGATTTGTTGAATATTAAATTTTTAAAATATATCGTAGAAAAGGTTTTCCTGATTCGAATGATAGTAAAATCGCTAACATTTGATAAATATTTAACGAGACATGGGTATTTAAAGATAAGGTATTACAATAACACAATATTATATTATTTCCTAAGTTATACAAAATTCCTAATTCTGATTGTAATACCCTCTCTTTAAATATATCTCGTTAAATAATATCTGATTTTGCTATCATTAAAATCAGAACAACCTGGTCTAAAAAAACAATGAAACTTTAATATTTGTCGCGGTTGATGCCGAGATTGGCTGATTTGGGGTCTTAATTTTTAATCTACTAAACCTAAAATCCACATATTACTCTTTTATACAACTCTAATCATGAACCCTAAAAAAAAAACACTGCATCCAAAAATTTTTTAAACTTTCATATCAAAATAAGCCATACAGGCTTGGAACTAACTTAAGGTGTCTCGTGATTTGGTGTATGTTACACGAAGTTTATTGAGGTTTTCATAACCGAAGGCTTTTGTAGTAACTAAAGATATAAAATAATTTAAAAATAGATTTAACAATGGACAAAATGTAAATAAGTAGTACGGACCATCTTCAATTTTGATTCAAACCTTTTACAGACAGCTTCTCTGATGATAGCCATCATGGTCTCTTCGATTGTTAAATAGTTAATTCTTTATTGATGTACATCCATAAATACCACCCCGTAATTCTTTGATTAAAAAAGTAAGGATCATAGGATCATGCTAGTGGTCCAAATGATAGGATTATTCATTAGAATACGATCTTCACGGCATTGACGTTTATACAAACTTAAAAGAAGATTCTGAGATTCATAACCAAATAAATTGGCTATTGTATTTAAAGAGGGAAACCACTATTAGGAGCCGTAATGTGACAAGAACGTGAAACGTTGAAAGACTAAAAGGTTTCTTTTTAAGATTGTCAAGAAATTCAGGAGTAAGGTTTGGAAGAGATTTCAAGGGAGACGTTGCTTTGTTCTTGTATAGAAAGGGTGCCCAGCTAGAAATACAATATATATATAAGTAAAATGATTTAGCATTAATATTTTTTATAATAAGATTTACACTCACAACTCGATGTCACTTATGTCACTTGAAGTGCCCATCAGAAACTTTGACAAGTTCATGGGTAACTTCAAACAGCAATCTCCAGGAGATTCATCTTTTATAAAATCACAAATATTCTTAACAAGCGGATTAGTTTGAGCGACAACATATTTATCATTACCCGCGTGAAATACTTGATCATAAAGATCTAATTGATTTAATTGATTTAATTTAGTTAAGATCGATTGTATTGACATAAATTTAAAATTTGTGGATAGAACAATACCTGCGAGGCAAGAATCAACACCTTTTAGGCCTTTAACTTTTATCAATTCTAATATAATAATGATAATGGCGACAGGCTGATCATAGTATTGGATCAAATAACCAAAAAAATAAATAAAATAAAATAAAGAAACAAAAAAAAGAGAATTATCATCAAAAATTAAATTTATTACCACATTCCGGTAAAGATACAAAATTTGAATTTATGTTAATCATACAAATTAAACACTCTAATTTAATCATTATCAACCGATTTAAATATTCTCAATCATATTTCATATTCTATAAATTGCTCAACATTTTCTATTATATTTTTATAAGCTTCTGGAGTCACATCTACAACTTCTGGACGAAGTCCTTGAAAATATTCTCCATAGCTAAGCATATCATGAGATCGGTGTAATTATAGATGTCCAATTTTTTTTTAAATGGTTGGCCGCTAAAAATTCCTGGTGCAATAAGGTAAACCACCAATAATGCCTTTACCACCCTATGAAGAGTAAATTTATTTAGTATGGGAATAAAATTAAATAAATTCAACTCTTCTATAAAGAACTGAAGATTCTAGAAGAAAAAAAGCTCGTTATAGAAAATTACTATTGTTTCTTAAGAATCTATGGAACTTTTTATACCGAATTATTATGAAATTTCAAAATCTTGTTCGTTATATCCAGAATTCTTTATAGGAATGTCCATTATATCCAGAGTCGACGTCTATAAATAATAGATACTTGGTGATGAATCTGCGGGATTTGAAAGTCCAAAGCCGCTAATAATACTTCCGTATAATTGTCAATGAGAATATTTTTGCAATGAAAATCTCGATGAATTTAAGATTTGCAATGCTAGAAAGAGTCTATTTTATTTGACCATATGAGCCCGTGTTTGAACTGATCAATAAATTTCCTAAGATCACCGAGAACCATGAGTTTCATTACCATCGTATACTCTTGCATATGTTCCGTTAAACCATAGAAATATAGCACATTTCCAAGATATTGGTAATGTATATTGAACTATAATAAGTGATTTAAAAGACTAATAATTGATTGTTGGTATTTGTGAATTATAATGTATAATCGGATTATTAATTCTTATAATTACTTCATTAAGAAACTTGGGGTCAAAATTTTTAGTTCACTTAAAAACTTGCCAAATTCATTTTGCTTTAATGTCACAATGTTCTTTCTAAACTTTGTATCTTGAATAAACATATCAATATCTTTGGTGATAAAAATGGTTTATTAGAGTTGATCACCTTTTGATGTTGGATTCATCTTTCTGAAAGATTATTGTTTCTAGCACCTGATACTCTTTACTTTCCAGAATTTTCTGATTATGCCAGCTGGTCAGAGATTTATATTACTTAGCCCAAAATTATTGATTCAAAAAAAAAAATTTTTTGCACAGAATTATCCTGTATTGGCTATCTGTATTGGCTATCTGTATTTGTTATTGTAGAAGCTGCTTTATATTAAAATTTCGCAAGGGAAACTTTTTGCTCGTGCACAAGAGTTTATGAGTAAAATTTGAGTTATGAACATTTTTTGATTTTATTTTTAATTCTTCCGTGCTACATCTAAAGTATCTAGTGAAAGTTCACTAAGCATTCATCATTATATGGAGCCTTTGCCTTGAAAATGACCTTACGGGACTATGTAGAATTTATAAAATTTCTATCCAGTAATCCCATTTAAATAACCTTTTTCTATCTTGTAAAGCTTAGTGAGTTCTACATAATAATAATAATAATAATAAGTTTACTTAAATTGGATTACTAGATGACTAGAAATTTTAATTTTTATTCATAAAATCTACGTAGTCCCGTAAGGTCATTTTCAAGGCAAAGACCAATACGTAAAAGTAATATCTTACGTCGAGATTGAAAAATATTTTTTTTAACAGCACCATGGTTCTCCGAACATGAGCTAGAGTTGTTTATCTAATTAGTATTAGGATTGTGGTGTTTTTGTTAGAATTAGAGCTGTTTTCATAGGTAAAATTGTGTCTCCGACATCTTTTACTAGTCATTAAGATAGGCTTAGAATATTGTTTTCTATATATTTCGCATTTTTTTATTTTTTCGTTGTTATCCGGAATGATCTTCGTGATCTACCTAATTTTGCATAATGCAGTAATGCTGGTGGAAAAGGTCAGGGCTTGATCGACTGTCCGGCCTAATTCAAACCTTTCCAAAACAATTTATTGCTTTTTTTTTTAATTTTGAAACTTTGGTTTCTGTTCTATAAAATTATTAGTGTCATTATACTAAGCTAAAATAATACAGATGTGTATGTATAGAGCCAATGAAAAGTAAGTTCAAAATTTAAAGTTTGGGACTCGAATGCAACTTTCACATGATATAATCACTATATAGTTTTGAACTCAAACTTGGACTTCTATGAAACAGGGGCTTTTGCCATCTCTATTTTTAAATAACATTAGTTACACCCGATCTTGAAGTTTGATTGGGCGGCGAAATTTTTTAGGTGATAAACGCTAAACGTTGGGCGTTACTAGAGAATGGTAATACGTATTAGGCTCGGAACCTTGGAACCTGGTTTTAAAATACGGGTTCCGATTTTAAAACCTAGGTTTTTAGGGTTTTAAATATGAGTGATGGTCAGTGAAAACCTGTAAATCGATTCACTATCAAGAAACGACCCCTGATGAATCTGACCGTAAAAATAAACAAGGAAACGGAAATCGTTGAGGTCCGGAGCCTATATACTTAAAAAATATATTTAATTTTGCAATATATTCTATAAGAAATTTTTATTCATTCACTTGAATAAGTTCCAAATTAAACATTCAATTGTGATATATATGATTCTATAGTACATATATTGTATCGTAGTTTTACTAATTTTCGTTATTTATTTCTCTTGTAAAATCGAAAGCGAGTATTTTTCTTGTCAAGTAAAGTATACCGATGTTTTCTTACCGGGGTATCACAAGTCTGGACAGTAAAACTTCTGTCTGATCTGAATATTATTGCAGGTGTACCCGTCACAGGTCTGGACAGTAAAGTCCTACACTCCGCTTCGGACAATTAAATGTGATAAATACACAATTCTAACCGTTCTAGTCACTTCTATTACACGTCTTATTTTGTTCATTAAAGCAGAGCGTTTCTATCAAACAATTGTTAAGTTAAAAATAATAATATTTTTAATAAATGTGTACTGAATAATCAGATTCAATCATATCATCTAAAGTTTCATGATTTGATTTGATTTGATCAAATATTTGATTTCAAATTCAAATCTGAAATTTTCAAATCAAATCAAATTCAAATATGATCAAATATAATTTGATTTGACAAATATTTGATTTAATTTGAAAATTTATAATTGAATGTTTAAAATTATAAGTTATTTACTTGAAATTTTATTAAGACAATTAAACTTTTCATTTTATGAAACTAAGGGTATTTTATTTAGAAGAATATTTTTACTTAAGAGTTCAAGATTGATTAATATAGTAAATTTTTCATAAATTAAGGTTTATCTTTATTAATTAATATTTTAAATTTTTTTTAAATCAAATCATATTCAAATATTTGAATCAAATATTTAATCAAATCAAATTTAAATTAGAATATATTTAATTTAATCAAATTCAAATTGATCTAATATTTGATTTTATTTAAGGTAAAAAATTTTTTTTGTATATCATCAAAACAAACAAAATTAAAAACAAAATATAATATAGAGTTTAATACTAATAATATTTTAAACTAATATCATTTTGTATATAATAAAAAAACAACTAATAATAGAACAATGTAAATAAAATAAAGTGAAAAAAAATAGCAAATCAAAACAGCAATGATAAGAAAAGTTTTTTTAAATTATTAAAAAAAAATTATTATATAACAATCTTAAAAAAGTTCTAATAAATACAACTATGTATAATACAATAACAATTAGAAAAACAATCTCTAAGATACAAATAACTTAATTTTGTATTAATAATAATAAATAAAAACATATTAATACTATTATTATTTTTATTAATACAAAAATGAGTAATCTAGCTTTATTAGTAAAATTTATATATAAAATATTATAAAAGATTTTGCATAATAAAAATTTTTCAAAATACAAAATTATTTTAAAATAAAAATATTTTATAATATTATAAAATAATTAAAAAAATAAGATTTATAATAATTTTAAATTAATTTAAAACTATTTAAATATATTTAAATTATATTAAAAATAAACTAAATTATCAAAAATAATAAAAAAATAAATAATTTCAAAAAAATTTTAAAATATTTTAATAAATTTAAAATAATTTTAATATTAATAAATTTATTTTATATTATTAAAATATTTTAAAATTATTACTATTTACATATATATATATTTAATATATTTTTTTATTTTATTATATACTAAGTAATTTTAATTATTTCAACTTTATTTAATTAATTTAATATATAAAATAAAAATAATAATAAAAATTAAAAATAAAAAAATAGAAAATTTTGGATATAATAATTTATAAATAATAAATAAAATAAATATTTAAAATTTTTGAAAATTTTTAAATAATCTGTATTTTCTTAATAAAAAAAGTTATTAGTAAATAAAACAATTCAAAAAAATTTTAATTTAATGTTAAATTTTTGTTTTTAGATTTACTTAAAGTTTTATTTAAAAAAAAGTAATATTATTTGTAAATAAAAAAAAACAATAAATAAAAAAGTTTTACAATTTATTTTTAGTATTTAATTTTTATAAGATAAATTTAAAATTTGAATAGTAGTAAATATAAATAAAAATTTTTACAAAATATAAAATATTACAAATATAAAGGTTGAAGTCTCTTAGACTAATAGTTAGGCATCCCTTTCTCTATAGACAAAATTAACAGTTTAATTCTAGTTAAAAATAAAAATTCTGTAATCTATGAAAACATATGAATATATATGAAACTTTATGACTAAGTCTATATAAATAAAAGATTAGTATATAATAAAGTGTTTAAAAAGAAGCTTCTCAATATAAAGAGTTAGTACTCAATATAATTGTACTTTCATTGATAGACTATAGTATATAAAAATGTAATCATATATTACTTAATAAAAATATACAGACAATATTGTTACTTTAAACTAAAAAAAATATTACAAATATAAATAAATATCAGTAAATATAGTTAATTTATTTAAGAATTATAGTATTATTTACAATATTCTATAAATTATAATTATTTATAAATAGAATTTAATAATTATATTTTTTTAATCTTTTTTTGTCTAATAAAATTTGTTAATTAAAGAACTTTTATAACACTTTCTACTGATCACCAAAACACAAAACCTGTAAAAACAAAAATTAAGACTAGCAAGAAAACCACTATCAAAACTGTGTTCGAAGACTTAACAAAAAAAAAAGAGCTTCAGAAATAGATCTAATAATTAAAGCAATAAAAGAAAACAAGACAAGAAGCAAATAAAAAAAGACAAATTCATCAAATGAGTCTCAAAAAACAAAAATTTTAGAGAAAATAGCTTAGACCTAGAATTACAGATCTGTTTGAAACATGTGAAAATATAAATAAACAGGTATGTACAAATATAAACAAAATAAATATATAAGTATTACAAAGTGCATATGATTGTAAACAAAAGTAGCATGAAACACAGCTATAAATAACATAAACAAAGGCAGAAAAGTCAATAATGCTAAAAATGATAAGTAAAAAAGCAAAGACAGAACTAAAGCTCATAGATAGCAAATAATTAGAGCAAGAACTAGCAAATAAAAACAACTATTTTAATATAAGAGATATAGTAGCAGCAGCACTATAGAAAACAAATTTAATAAAAACAGTAATACTAAGAAAAATATATGAAGCAATAATTAAAGTAGATATAAAAGACCCAACAAGTATAGAAAAATAGATAGAAGAGATAAATCATACAAGCCAACATCTACTAGTAGTGTAAAGTATAAGAAGTAAAAAAATCCAAACAATATTAAAAGAGGAAATCAATACTTCAGAAATATATATAGAAAAAATAAAACAAGAGACAGAAGCAGTAAACATAATAATAAATGAAAAAGAGCTATAATAAAATACAAGTTTGGAAGAGAAAGAAAGACAAAAAAGAAGAAAAAACAAAAAAGCCACAAATACAGAAATAACAAGCATAATAATTGAAGAAACAAAAATTGACAAATATATAGAAGAAGAAATAAGAATACTAAATACAAAATTAATGTAAGAAGACTATAAAGACATCATTATAACAATTAAAAAC